TCGGAAAATGTAACAAAGATATGAATATCAATAGTCGTCGCGCAGAACAATAGCAATCCGGTATACTATCATACTGTTACAAAGCCTTGGCGGAAATTTGTGGTAAATTTTGTCTCACAATGACAGTACGTTTAGTCTATCAAAGAAAAAAAGATCTAGTCAAATTGTGCAGTTTACCTGCATGTCTAACTGATACGGTAATGCAAACATATGTTGAAATTTGAAGTTAACATTAATTAAAATCCTTCATGATTTAAAAAAAAACTTTTGCCATACGTCTCAAAACATTGTGGAGTTAATGAGGTCCTTAACTCGCCTGAACTATATTGTTTTGTAATCTCTCTTGATATTCTAAGATATTTCTCTGGCTGATTTTGTGAACATTTCTGTGCCGTACCCCGTGTCTCCTGTTTCCAACGTACTCGCATAATCACCAACTTTTCTGTATTCTACTCAAAGAGGTCACCAAGTTATCCGTAATGCCCCTATTTCACACAGACCACGAATCCCATGAATCGCCAGGAATTGACAAATTTCAGGATTCGTGAGATTTTACAAATTTTCTGGCTTTATTCGACACGCTCTACGATTCAGTTACGATGCAGGTGCGATAGTGTTGCGAATATTCGTGGGATTCGGCTGGAAACGCACGAATATTGTCAAGAATTCACTACCATTTTTTTGGAATCGGGAGTTCGTGGCCAAAATTTGGAACAGCTCAAATTTTTTGCCACGAATTCCCGATTGATCAAGAATTGCAAGAACTGACTNCGAAAATATTGGTCAAGTTTTCAGAGTAGCGGGAATCCAACGAAAAAGACTCAGTTGCCCCTCGAAGAAAATACTTGTCACTGACCTACATGGCTTTTAAGGACCTCCATGGATGTTAAGGACAAGGACAGCTATAATGGCATTGTACCAACATATCACATAAAGGCTGTGGCAACTGAAAGCCCAGGCCAGTAATAAGTGCACCAGTTCTGCATGCAGAAACACACAGACAACCACTTGTTCTTGCATAAAACCAACTATGGCCAATAAAGTAATGTTTATACTGACAAAGCAAGATGAAAACTGTTCTCTCCACGCCGTCTGCTCAATGCCATCACAAGCAATGAAACGAAGCTTACTGTCCAGCGAGCGAAAAGAGTCGGTGAAAGGGGTCAGCCAGACACTGCCCCCCGGTAATTTGATTCTGGTTTTAGAGTCAGATTGACTCCATGAGAGCCAGGGGGTGATTGACTCTGATAAGAGAGTCTAAAGCTCTGGTAGTGGGGTAATTTGACCCTTATATAGGAGTCAAAATTACTCCATGAGGGTCAAGGGGTGCTAACTAGAGAGTCAAATGACTCCAATTTTATTATCAGTGTTGTCATGGGGCAGCACTATCTGTCATGAAACTCCCTTGATTGTTATGGGTCTGTTCTGGATGTCATTAGACCGCATTGGCCCTCGTGTTACTGTATTGATTGCCATGGGCATATGTTGGCAGTCGTTATACAGTACTGGCTTCCTTGATGGGGAGAGCAAGTATTTCTAACGGGAAGATCACCACAGGAAAGAAAGTTTTCATGAAAACTAACCATCCAATTAAAAAAGTCAACCTCCCAGAGAGACTTTATTCAGTCAGCAATAAGCTAAATACTTCCGCTAAAGAGATCAGTAGCTGTAAATTTTGCTTCGTCTCGTAAATGCTTTTCACTAAAAGGGGTTAACGTGCTCCGGGAATTTACCCACGTCTTTTTCTTCAGGGGAAGTTTACAAACGGCTTTCCGACAGATAAATGCTGCGGTTTACAACCTGATGTCACCTATAAGTGTAGTGTAGACACAGATGCGACGCACAAAAGGGCATCTCATGTATACGGGTTATCATTTGGTTAGGTGAAAAGGAAAACACTGAAGGGACTCAAAACTATGTGAACACGAGTGCGTTTAAAATCGAAAAAAAAGTAAATAAAAATAAAAATATAATAATTCATAGGTTAGCATTATACTGTAGTATGGTATGTATTGTGCTTGTAGGTGTGTTAACGCGCAGCAAGTTCGCCAACTTTAATCATTTGACGTTAACCTGCATTTAAGTATTGGCTTCTTTCTAGTAATATCTGTCCAAAAATTGCCGTTTCAAGTAATATAAATGCTAAAAACAGTAGACAACTGTCAAAACTCAGACATAAGTCTAAGTTCTAATTAAAACCTTTTTAGTGGGTAATGTCTAAACAAACAAAACATTTGTCAAAAACATTTGACGAAAAACAAGGGAGATGTATTATAAGGAAATACTAATCCCACCCAAGACCCACCAATTTGTCCAATAAACAAACCTATAAAAGCAACAGAGATAAACTATAAATGATAAATAAAAACCAACCACGAAAGCCACCAATTTTGAAGTGCTAATAGTGCTAATACTAAGAATATACTAGTTTCACCATTATTCTGGCTATTGCTAAAACTCACATAACAGGAAAGTATTTTGTAAGTATTTTCCGAGATGAACAATTACTCCCAGTAGTGGAGTCGTGGGTTCTACATTGTCGTCATTCTGTCCCTTCAGGGTGATGTGATAAGTGACGAGGTGACGTGCTACACATTACATTCATCTACATGTTTAAGTATCAGCAAGGAAACGCCCCTCAACACCTAATCAAGTATAAAAGGACGAGGGAGAGCAAATCTGACACGGAATGCCAAAACAGAATGCTCGTGTAACATTGACCTGCTGGTTATTATTTATAAATGGTGAACTGCTGCATTTGATCTAAGATTACCTCAACCAACCATGAGACTTTTTCTGGGTAAGTCAATGGTTTTAATATATTTGACAAACGTGTAGAATGTTCCATGTTGTTTTGGGTGTTCGCAGGGTTACTGTTTTTTTTTTTTTTAATCAGGCGATCAGAATAAATAGTTATTTTCAATACCAATTTCTTCATTTCTCTTGGTTTTCGCGTAACAGAATTTTATAACCCAATACATACAGGTTACAATTATACTAAAAGGCAGTTTCATTTTGTACAGATCCATATAATGTCTTTGCTTGATGACTGTTTCGTGTCGCGACTCAGCTGACTTTATCACATCTGAGAGTAAAGTAGAGAAGATAGTAAATTACCGAGTCATATAATTGCTAAGCGCAGTGTTAAGCCTAATTTGTTCATTTTCTCAGCAGAAAGATATTGACAAATTACTCTAATTAATGACATAAAAAAATAAAGAAATTGCCTCTCTTAGTTCTTAAAAGAACTCCAAGTCTTTTTTAAAATGGCCGCCGGGGGTATATTTTCATCATATCACCACTTCTGAGGGAATCAATTACTTAGTCTTCATTATTTATTTGTGAACTTATATTGTCAAAACAATTTCTGGTGCTTTGATAATTTGACATCACAAAACAGCAGTCAATCCAACACTGGGCAAAATCATGACGCGTAAATCTTTAACCATCATTATTGGATTTTTTTGTGCCGTTTTTTTTTTTTTTTTTTTTTTTTTTTTTTTTTTTTTTTTTTTTTTATTCCATTTAGATGTTTGACTTGGCTATTACTTTAAATTGACATGACATTTCCCCTGAAACTTTGGTGACCACGCGCAAAAACGAACAGAAAACCATGTTGACAGTTACAGTCACGTTGTGACATTGTTGCAGACAGTTACAGTCACGGAAGTGACGAAATCTTGCAGAATTCCGCAAAATTCAAATCTGAGTCCTGTAGCCTTATACGTGTTAGGGTGTTTGACTTGGCTATTACTTTGAAATGACATGTCATTTACTGCTGTCCGCTGAATGTTACTATTTGTTTTCTCTTCAAATACAAAATAACATATAAGAAGGACACTGTGAGTCAGTGGGTGATAATTTTATATCCAGATATACAACAATATATATTTTAAGTAGTATGGGCAAGTTTCACTCTTGTATTAATTACGAAAATAAACAAACCAAACTGGCCATATTAGTTTGTTGCGTAGATTTTTGGCGGCCATATTGGGAACAAGGGTCATCTAGATCGTTTACTGCTGGTTCCATAACTGTGTTTCTTACAATCTGGACAAGGTTATATTAATTATATCTGAGATAGCAATTCAAAAATGACAAGTAACACGGTGTACTGCTCTGCAGTGGACTGGGACTGTAATGCGACATTACCCATTGGCAAGAGAAACCAGAAACATTTCCGTGGATACATTCTGGCAGCTTTTATACGTTGCGGCACTAGATTGTCACTGTGTCTCACCCCATTCTGCTCCAAATCCCCCGAAATCTCGCTTGATTTTACGTTCAGTGGCTTACGGTTGTCTTTAATTATCCTCATTCTGTTTTTGCTGGCATACAATTTCTACTTTGTTTTGACAGAAAAACAACCAGTATACTTAATATTTATCTTGTCATTCTGACCCAAGTATCAAGTGTGATAAAGCTGCACATAGTCTTCAAGCAAAGGTGTTCTGCGAATGTTGCCTTCAGTATCGATATCACTTCATAGAGGATCAAATGACTGTCTCCATGAGCATACAATCCAAGATTAGCTATAAAGAGAGGAAGTCAGAGTGTTTACCTCTAACAAGTGTGAGATAATACACTGTCACCCGAGCGATATAGGCCTATGCCATAATACCTCGAACGTCAGCGAGAGGTGTTCATGGCATATATCGCGAGAGGGTGACAGTGTATTATTTGACATACATACCGAGAAAAAATGCAGTCATTTCTTCCTAAAACACCCCTAAAACCGAATAAAGTGACCCTATATCACGCTCTAGAGATGTTATACAGAATAAACTCGTCCACGTGCGCTGGTCACCTCCCGCCAAATTCTTACGTAATGTCTGACTAATTTGGTCAATTTGTGCTAAATACTTGTCGTGGACATTCAACTGTCTTGAGAAGTATTTAATCAACCGTCGACACTGACCATGCACGTCTCAGCTGAGCCACACCTAGCTGCGAAAACAAAGTCCCAAGGCAAAACCTCTACTTTTTAGTGACATTTCTGATAAAAAAGGAGCGTCGGACTAATTAGTCAAACTAATTTTTCACATTGACCTGCTGGTTATTATTTATAAATGGTGAACTGCTGCATTTGATCTAAGATTACCTCAACCAACCATGAGACTTTTTCTGGGTAAGTCAATGGTTTTAATATATTTGACAAACGTGTAGAATGTTCCATGTTGTTTTGAATGTTCGCAGGGTTACTGTTTTTTTTTTTAATCAGGTGATCAGAATAAATAGTTATTTTCAATACCAATTTCTTCATTTCTCTTGGTTTTCGTGTAACAGAATTTTATAACCCAATACATACAGGTTACAATTATACTAAAAGGCAGTTTCATTTTGTACAGATCCATAGAATGTCTTTGCTTGATGACTGTTTCGTGTCGCGACTCAGCTGACTTTATCACATCTGAGAGTCAAGTAGAGAAGATGGTAAATTACCGAGTCATATAATTGCTAAGCGCAGTGTTAAGCCTAATTTGTTCATTTTCTCAGCAGAAAGATATTGACAAATTACTCTAATTAATGACATAAAAAAATAAAGAAATTGCCTTTCTTAGTTCTTAAAAGAACTCCAAGTCTTTTTTAAAATGGCCGCCGGGGGTATATTTTCATCATATCACCACTTCTGAGGGAATCAATTACTAAGTCTTCATTATTTATTTGTGAACTTATATTGTCAAAATTTTCCATCCATTAAGATGTGTAAACAATTTCTGGTGCTTTGATAATTTGACATCACAAAACAGCAGTCAATCCAACACTGGGCAAAATCATGACGCGTAAATCTTTAACCATCATTATTGGATTTTTTGTGCTGTTGTTTTTTATTTATTTATTTATTTTTTTTTATTCCATTTAGATGTTTGACTTGGCTATTACTTTAAATTGACATGACATTTCCCCTGAAACTTTGGTGACCACGCGCAAAAACGAACAGAAAACCATGTTGACAGTTACAGTCACGTTGTGACATTGTTGCAGACAGTTACAGTCACGGAAGTGACGAAATCTTGCAGAATTCCGCAAAATTCAAATCTGAGTCCTGTAGCCTTATACGTGTTAAGGTGTTTGACTTGGCTATTACTTTGAAATGACATGTCATTTACTGCTGTCCGCTGAATGTTACTATTTGTTTTCTCTTCAAATACATAATAACATAAAAGAAGGACACTGTGAGTCAGTGGGTGATAATTTTATTTCCAGATATACAACAATATACATTTTAAGTAGTATGGGCAAGTTTCACTCTTGTATTAATTACGAAAATAAACAAACCAAACTGGCCATATTAGTTTGTTGCGTAGATTTTTGGCGGCCATATTGGGAACAAGGGTCATCTAGATCGTTTACTGCTGGTTCCATAACTGTGTTTCTTACAATCTGGACAAGGTTATATTAACTATATCTGAGATAGCAATTCAAAAATGACAAGTAACATGGTGTACTGCTCTGCAGTGGACTGGGACTGTAATGCGACATTACCCATTGGCAAGAGAAACCAGAAACATTTCCGTGGATACATTCTGGCAGCTTTTATACGTTGCGGCACTAGATTGTCACTGTGTCTCACCCCATTCTGCTCCAAATCCCCCGAAATCTCGCTTGATTTTACGTTCAGTGGCTTACGGTTGTCTTTAATTATCCTCATTCTGTTTTAGTTGGCATACAATTTTTACTTTGTTCTGACAGAAAAACAACCAGTATACTTAATATTTATCTTGTCATTCTGACCCAAGTATCAAGTGTGATAAAGCTGCACATAATAGTCTTCAAGCAAAGGTGTTCTGCGAATCTTGCCTTCAGTATCACTTCATAGAGGATCAAATGACTGTCTCCATGAGCATACAATCCAAGATTAGCTATAAAGAGAGGATGTCAGAGTGTTTACTGCTAACAAGTTAAAATATTAGCGCTGACACGCTGCATCAGTTTATTCTTTGTAATTGAAAAGGTTTGCTTTTTATTTCAATGAAAAAAAATGTTGCGATATTTGGCAGTTAAGAAAAATAAATAAGGAAAAAATTGGAACGTGGTTTGTCAACTCTTGGGAGGAAATAGGAGACTTCAGAAAAAAATACATGTAGTTAAAACAATGGGGTTGCATAAATCTCACATAACATTCCAGAAAATGTGTTATTAAGAAAAATACACCATATTTCGGTAAGTGTATTGTCTTGTTCCAAATTTAATGAGCTTTTCAGAATGCTCATATCTCAAATGTTGTGTTGAATGAATGCAGCTTCTCTTTGAAATTTATCCTAGCCTCTTTACAAACCCAAAAATTTTACAAACCCAAAGATCAACATATCTTTGTTTCAGAATGTATACTCAACAAGTTCATCGCAATGTTGTTCCTTCTGCACACACCGAGTCTTGCGAACACTACGACGCTGCCCAAAGCTTGGGTGCGGTACGGCAAGAGATTATCGAGAACAGATCTTGAAAATCCCTGCACCGGAAGAATTTTTCAGAGGCTGGAAGGTATGTTTTCGTGTTCGTTATTTTTGGAATAGGGAATGGTGTTTCATTATCTCAACCGAGACAGAACGTGCAAAAGATGCCATTCATTGCTGTAATGGTGGAGATTTATATGCACGGTGACATGGCACAAGTTCTACAGTTTATTGCTAGAAAAAGAGAAAGTGTGATAGCTTTCAATTCCAAATGCTTCTCAGATTTTCTTACTTACGAATGGCAGAATCATTTTCCTTTTTTCGGAAAATGTAACAAAGATATGAATATCAATAGTCGTCGCGCAGAACAATTAGCAATCCGGTATACCATCATACTGTCGCAAAGCCTTGGCGGAAGTTTGTGGTGAATTATGTCTCACAAAGACTGTACGCTAAGTCTATCAAAGAAAAAAGATCTAGTCAAATTATGCAGTTTACCTGCATGTCTAACTGATACGGTAATGCAAACATATGTTGAACATTAATTAAAATCCTTCATAATTTAAAAAACAACTCTCAAAACATTGTGGAGTTCATGAGGTCCTTAACTCGCCTGAACTATATTGTTTTGTAACCTCTCTTGATATTCTAAGATATTTCTCTGGCTGATTTTGTGCACATTTCTGTGCCGTACCCCGTGTCGCCTGTTTCCAACGTACTCGCATAATCACCAACTTTTCTTTTCTGTATTCTACTCAAGGAGGTCACCAAGTTATCCGTAATGCCCCTATTTCACACAGACCACGAATCCCACGAATCGCCAGGAATTGACAAATTTCAGGATTCGTGAGATGTTACAAATTTTCTGGCCTTATTCGACACGCTCTACGATTCAGTTACGATACAGGTGCGATAGTGTCACGAATATTCGTGGGATTCGGCTGGAATCGCACGAATATTGTCAAGAATTCACTACCATTTTTTTGGAATCGGTAGTTCGTGGCCAAAATTTTGACCAGCTCATAATTTTTGCCACGAATTCCCGATTGATCAAGAATTGCAAGAACTGACTACGATTATGTACGAATCTGTAAAGAACTTCACGAACTGATTACGATTCAACCACGAATCCTGAAATTTGTCAATTCCTGGCGATTCGTGGTCTGTGTGAAATAGGGGCATTAAAGTTTTTGCCACGAATTCCTGTTGGTCAAGAATTGCAAGAACTGACTACGAATATATACGAATCTGTTAAGAACTTCACGAACTGAATACGATTCAACCAGGAATCCTGAAATTTGTCAATTCCTGGCTATTCGTGGGATTCGTGGTCTGTGTGAAATAGGGGCATAAGGTAACGGCGAGAAAAATTCTAACTTGTGCTGAAGTACCCTTACTATCATATCATCCAACTACTGTCTCAAGGCATATGATTTACTCACGAGGTAAGGTTTCCTCTTACATTGCACCACAGAGGTCCAGCGCGTAATCACGAAAAATAAGAGGATCGTTGATGCCTGATAGAAAGTGCTAATGTTACTGTCATGCAACTTCCTGGATTTCTAGATTTGAAGTAACAGGATGGCAGGTATGATCACGATTTTCTTATGGGCTTAATAAGCTGCCAAAGATAACATTGCCATTGTTTTCATTAAATGATTGTTTTAGTTTTTTATTGTGCGCTTCAAGTTAAGTTTTCCTCCTACAAATTGGTGCTAAACACGCATGTGACAATAATTTTTTTCACAAAAAATTTTAGGTTAGTGAAATGACGATTTTCAAAATGGCAGACAAAACGCCTTAACAGGAGTTTCATCATCGACAATTAAAGGGTCCATAGTTTGTAATATGCTTCCTCTTATGTTTTTAGGATTGAAAAATCTATTCCTCTTATGTAAGCACTATCACTGTTACATTTTATGTGTAGTTTGGTTACCGTGTGTGGTGATAGTTCACTGTCAAGCTTGAGGAAAAAGCCAGAATCTCAGTCAGTCAAAACAAGGAATGATAAGATCTCTCAAGTTTTGCTGGATGTGAATTATCAGGAAGAATCAGAATTATCCTAACTCCAAGCGACCAAAAGGTGAATATCTTTAAATTATTGAAAAAAAATGATGGATGGTATATCTTTGTTTTACATGTCTAATGCCATGGAAGCAATCGCTATCATAAACTAAGACAAACTAAGAAATATACTATGTCTGAATCTCCAAGAATATTTCCCTTTCTTCGAGTAGAGCATTTCGAACAGAATAATGTTGGATAATAATAATACATTCAGGGAACTAATGTAGCTCTGCCGCAGATTGAAGTACTTGAATAGTAAAGGATGGACAGCACATGTATATTACAATGGAGTAGTTCAACGTATATAAAGAGCCACTGCGTGTCTATGTGTTTCTGTACATATACATGTATCCACCTGCTGCGCCAGTTGGCGTCGGCGTCGCTAACACCATAAAATTGGTGTTACTTCTAATTCTTAAATTTACAAGAATGATTACCAGCACTGAAATACAGCTAATATTTAAAAACAGCCTGACTGGATTCTTTTTTCTTGAAGTTATGCTTTTTTGTGTGTGTGGAATATTCATTATTGTAGTCCGTATGTGCGCAATAAAAATTATTCAGGGGAGAAAAACCAAAAATCGGTGTGAGTATTGACTATGCCGAGACACGCCGTTGCAATCCCCGCGCACACATAACCCGCGGCATATAATTTGAACTGAGATTCAGATTTCTTAAAGAGTGTGTCAATGATATTTATGATGTTTTTCTTCTTCATGAAGCTTGATTATTAGAATAGAGTATCGTGTTGAAGGATAATGAGGGCGTGGATGTTAGAAAGAGGTGTGGGAAAGGAAATTGAATTTGTCATATTCTGTTTTGTCCTTCCAGTTGACTTCTCTTCCATTCACGTGAGTGATGACATTTCTGCCATTCAAGAGTTAGGACACGATGTGAAGGAGGCAAGAAGACAGCTCCAGGGCCTGCTTAATGGCTACGTAAGTTTGATTTATATCAAGGTGTTGGCAGTATATCAAACGATGCACCCGAATTGATATCCACAGACACAGACATATTGAGTATATATTAACTCTCTCTCTCTCTCTCTCTCTCTCTCTCTCTCTTTTGCGACACACCCTCTGTGAGGGGATGCCAATTACTGCTAATTATTTTTGCCTTTATGACTGCAGTGTCGACGGTTAGGATTCCACTTCCGTGGTGCTAGTCCCGGTTGCACTCGTGAGACAGAAGAAATCCGTGCCATCTTACACAGGTGGACTCACTCCCGTCTGGATTTTTGTCGTAACTGCAAATGCGTTACAGACCAACTAGATGAGGACAGTGTAAGTCTGAAATTCACTTCAGTTTTTTAACGAAATTAGACCTGTTATAAATCTGTGAGTGTATGTTAGTAAGGTTTCTGACAGTTAATTGTTTTAATAAAATAAAAAGGGTTGAAGAAAAAAACTTGTTTCCGCCGAGATATTGGGTGACAGTAATTTTAATTAAAATAGTCTGGAATAAGATTATATAACAAAAATAATAATGAAATGTTGAAATAATAAGAAATAAAAAAATTGCATAAGAGCAGCTAGAAAAAGTTCACTCACAAGTGCTTGGCAAAGATAAGGATCTTCGCCGTATGTCTCGAATTATACTAAAGATTGCTCTTTGGCATCAAAGAACCTTAAATAATTTTTCTGACACCGGCATCTTTTACGTTTCTTGTCGTCGCAAGTTCGCTAGATATGACCACATTATTCATATGATTTTTTCGTTGTAGGTACAAACGAAACTGTTGACGATCTACTTTTATCTACAAGAAATGACTGTTAAGTTCGGTCTGCTTCATCGTGTAGAAACTTCGTGCTCAAGACGCACCGAAAGCCCGTTTGACGAGCAACTGGACAGGTTCATTTTCACGTACATGCGCAGTCTCCTCTGCAAACTGAGGGGTCTTTTCACTGGGAGGCCTGCAGCACGTTTTTCGCACAGAATAAACCAGGTCCACCATCTTCTCTCTTTGAATGACACTTGTAGTTATCTTTCTATTCAAAATAGAGACATCGATCTAACTGGCCTTATCATCATCTCGGAATTAGATTGCCTTTTGTCAGCCATGGATCAAGAATGTACCGGCACTGAACTGACATTACGTTCTTATAGTCAGAAGAAATGGAAAGGGAAGTTCAAACTTCCTCACCAACAAAAATATTTCTTCTATTGAAAATGTCTTATTCCAAGAATGTGCCGCGCCTAAAAATCATGAAATTTTAACTGTCAAATTAAGTCGCAGATTCAGAAATGTAATGTACTTTGTATTTTAGGTCATATCAAGTCTAATAAATGCATTATCCGTTTGCGACATACTGGTGAATATTACACACACACCTAGAAATCAAGAACCATTTTTTCTTTTATTTAAGAATGATCAACATGAAATATTCAAATATCCGCTACCAAGAGTTGATTCGTCAAATCAACGTCAAAAAGATGAGTTTGGCATATAACATTAACTGATATTCCCAAAGAAATAAAATGAAAGGGCCAATTCACAAAGACTATAAGTGCCATGGCAAGAAAATTGTGAAAAAGTATGTGAACATTTCACATGGATAGTTTTGAATCTAAGAAACAAGTGTCCCATACACTTCAAAATTAAAGACATTTTTTCATTCATTTGTGAATGGTCGACATAAAATATCTAAATATCCGCTCTATTCACAAAAACAGCTTGGTGGATTTTTCCATGACAACAGAATTGTGAAAAAAGACTGGTATATATTTTACTTATAAACTCCTTTCTCACAAAAAAAAAAAAAGAAAAAACATCACCATAGTGGCCAGTTAGCAAAAATACAACAATATCAAGATAATATTTTCGTGAGAAAGGGGTTTACTGTGCTTTGCTGTTCGAGCGGACGTGCTTGAGTTAAGGGCCTATATAAAGTAACAGCCATATAAAGTGACGCGCATTTACAACGAGTATTATCTTTTTATCATATTTGACGAATACATTTTAAAGGCTAAAAAATGATCACAAGTAATAACTAGATAGCAAAGCTGACAAATATACAGACACCATACAGGAAACAAAAATGCAAAGCTGTCAAGTGTTCAGACATTATGCAGAAAAAAGGGCGCAAAATAATGTATTGGCCAACTTTGGTGCACTGTTACATAATGCTCTAAAATAGCAAAATCAAACTTACCCTCTTACCCTCCAGGTAACATGGACATTGAAAAACTAGCAAGTGGTTCAATTCTATGTGATATAAAAGTCACTAAAAATGCTAATGTGTGAAAAATGAAAGTTTCACACATAAAAAAATCAGAATAATCACCGTCAATGTACACTGATAATGCTGATCTTCGAAAGCAACCTGCCTCTTTACCAAACAAAGCCAATCTGTAAATTTAAATTAAAACAAAAAAATACGGTTTGGAAGTTATGGGGCGAACTTCACCAAAATTATGCCAAAAAAAAAAAAAATACTTACCGTAAATGTAAACCGATCATGCTTTATTTTCGCAATCAACCTGCCTCTTTACCAAACAAAGCCACTCGGTAAATTTAAAGTAAAACAAAAATACGGTTTGGAAGTTATGGGGCTAACGTCATGTCGGACAGCGATAGCGACGGTGACAGCGACGACGCTGACAGCCAGACCTATCAGAATATACTGTATAAAGACACTTACAGTGTCTGTATATAAAAAGGAATGGTATTATACATGTTCAATATATATATGCGACATAGACCGGCATTTTATCGGAAAAGAAAATACGTGCTGTCAACTAGTAACTTATCGTATTTGAATTGACATGTGCATTGTTTCCTCGGAGACAAAACATCAAAGAAACTGAACCCCAAGATTTGACATCGTCAGGCTTGTCATATTATTTTTCTGTATGATCTAAGTTTCTGCCTGTAATGAATTCTTTATGAACTAATTAACAGCAGAGTGTATTTTAATTGTATAGGGTCTATTTGATTTAAAATATTTTCAAACCTCCCAAGCGAGACAAAGACATTCATTCTTGTCCCACTCCTCTCCTTAGCAAAATCTTGGGTCTGCCAGTTGCTGTGGTATAAAGTCTAATTGAGCTAAATTGAATGATGATCCCTTTCTCAAACACGACAGTGTAATTTAAGCTTTACGGTCACGTTATTTTTCCTCACCAGAAAGTCTTATCTTTTCCCTAATTCAGATTGGTGTGGTCTCTTTGGCACGATCAGTAAGGCTTAACAAACCTATCTCAGTTCTGAAATACTTCAGCAAATAATGGCAATACAAAAAGAAAATTCGACCTGTCCCGTAATTCAACAAGTCATATCGTGGCCATCACTACCGGCACCTACAACTGGTATTTTACTGCAGCATTTATATGGCGAAAATGGAAGTTTTACTGACATTGGTGTTTTGCTTAATGCTTTTAGCTTCCAAAGGTGAGTTTTGGGAAAATCAAAAATTCATATGTTCATATCATGTCATAGATAAGTGTTTGAAAGTACATTAAAAGTGCACTATGTTTTATCAATAATTAACGGTATTCGCCGTAATCTTTTATGGTGATTTATCAGCAAAACTCACAATGTATTATTGCGTTTATCACTATACCTAATACACAGATTATAAAAACGCAGGTGTGTTCTATTAGAGAGGACAGTGTCAAAATATTTCAATATTATAATACATGTAACTTGTTTAAAAAACGTATAATTTTGAGTTTCTTTTCTTTCACATTGCATAAAACAGTTATAGAGGCCCTTATTCAATAGCTGTATATATTATACATATAGATTTTATATTACTAAAATATCTTGTTCATAATTCCAGTCGGAATATGCAGCACAACAACTGCAAAAAGAGTAAGTACATTTTTCCTATAATTAGGAACTTGTTCCGTTGTTTCTCACATCATGCTGCGGAAGAAGATAAAAGCCGGAGCTAACACTCGGAGAGGTGTTAGTTGCTGGGTTATCGTGAGCTATGTATGATTGTTGTATAATTGAGCAGTGCACGTGTATCTTTATATTGCACTGGAAACTCAGTATCAGGCAGGTGTTTTTTAATTACTTGTTTCTCAAACAATATCTATTTTCATCAAAGGTTGGAGGGGGAAAGTGAATTTTTTTCAAAATAAAGACCTTTGTCACTATTTGAAAAATATCTTAAACTACTTCAACACCCATTTTAACTTAATATGTCATATCTTAAAACGGTAAACAGTCATTCTTGTTCAATGAAGTGTTTTATTTGTCGAAAATACGTGGCATACTGCGTAATCACACCAAATACCTTTCTGAAAATAAAAACACTATGGCCTATATGGATATATTGATCTTATTAATACAAAGTGATTTCATTATTTACGTTACCACAACGTTTATATAACCCAAAAACGTTATGATAACGTTATAATAACGATCTGTGTTTGCTGGGAACACCCTGATTTTGCTAATAGAAACAATTTGTTACTTCAAAAAAGTAACAAAACTGAGCTTAATGGCCTTCGTGCTGAACTTATATACAGTCACGCGACGTGTGAGAACCGTGAAACTCGTAAGTCTTCGGAAGTCGGTAAAAAAATTATATTATACTTGAGCTTAATTTCATTTTCTATTTTGGCCATTTTGAGGTCGGCGGAATTTGAGAAAAAAAGTAAACAAAAAACATCTGCCTCACACTCGCACATCTGCTAGCAAACACGCGTTCCATAAGGAACGTACACGCAAGCACGGGAGGGGACACGCCACTGTGAGAAATCAAGAGTTTATACTTTGTTCCAAACTAAAGATAGCCATTGTACTACATTATCCGACTGAGTTCTGTTACATGTACTACATTATCAGACTGAATATCATAAAAAGAAAGAAAGAAAGAAAAATTGCCTTTTGTATCACGATGCAAAAATCTGATGTGCCCCTTTTTCATTGACCCTCCCGTCGGTTCCAAATGTGTGCTACAGTTGTACATGGTGGTAATTTAGATAAATCATGCTGTTTTTCAGCCTACAAGTTGTGAAGACAAATTCAATGCTTTCCCAGGTCATTCAGCGTGTCTTGAACCATCCGAAAAGTTCATCAGTGGAGGTAAAGTCACTTTGGTGAAAAATATCAAAATAAGAGTAATTTGGCCTGGTGTTTTGTATGTTTATGTGAAGATAAGGTGTGCTCTTTCGAAGATAAGATTTAGTGAAGTATTTGCATAATTGCAAAACAGCATTAAAGTTGCACTATTACATTTTGTACCGACTAAGAGCTATTTTGGGGAAAGCAATGAATTCGTGCATGAAAGAAAACGAAATCATAATGATAAATCTATATTACTACATTCAATATTGCTTTATGTCAACTGCAATTTGAAAGTGCTGAGATTAAATCTTTTTGAACATTATCTGTTAAAGGACCTACTTAGCTCGACATACCATCATAACTGCACTGTAAATACTCGAATCCTTATCATCTATGGTTTTAGGAGTTTCAGCTGAGGATAAAATGTTAATCGTAGATCAACACAACAAGTATAGAAGGCAGATAAAACACGCTAGTGATATGCAAATGATGGTAATTTTTTTTACTACTGTAATTAATTTTCATGTCTCCTTCAGAACAGTAAAGTCAGTTCCTTTTTAAGTACACTTTTAGCTGCCCTATTTCATAATCTTATTTCTTTCGCTCGGTGTAGTACAGCTGTAGCAGAATGACAGACGATGCACTCATCGTTCATAACTATCACAATGAAATGAATAAAAATAAAAATGCTGTTTGTATGATTCGTTGCATGATCCAAGGTATGGGATGATGAGCTGGAGCGTGTGGCCGAAGGATGGGCTAAGCAGTGCATCAGCGATCATGAAGACGGCATTCTGCGGCGAATACCGGGTAGGACTGTCAAAAGAATTTTTTTCCACAAAACATTATGAATGTCATGTAATGAATAGATCCCATATAAACAACATGATGTGATATAACGCAGAAACATATTTTGTGTGTTTCTGCATTTTATAATTTTAAAAAGATGCTTCTTTGGGGTTTTGAGAGTTGAAACTTTTATAGAATTGGTAATTTTTAACTTTTCCTGCACATGGTATATTTACATGTATGTGATGTTAAATACAAAATAATTTGAGCAGTCCTGTGGACACGCGTTTCTTTGTTGCCATGCAATTATGTCAGTAACAACGCAATTATGCCTACAGCGCAATTATGCCTTTTGAACATTGATTAGTAACTTGTACTAACTATAATATCCCAACATTTTTAGGTAGATTCAGCGTTGGGCAGAATCTCGGAATAGATTACACAAGTTGGGAAAATTGCATCTCTGGATGGTTTAATGAAAGCAAGGATTTCAGATATAACGATTCTTCGGTAAAATTTGAGGATGTCGGTCACTTCACTCAGGTATTGATAGATATATTTCATCTAATTAATGGACACGCATCCTAGTTACATATGAAAATTGGAGGGAGAAATATTTGCCTTTGGCTCCCCTTTGCGTGGAATTTTGTATTATCCCAAGAAAATTGATTTACATTTGAATTTCATCATGGCTCCAGAATACATATGTTTATAAAAAGAACTTGCATTTGGAGCATAAAATGCTAATAGTGTCATATGTGAGATATGAAATTCAGTCTTTTCAGAGCACAACTTTAAACCATTACTGTAACAGTGTATTTTTCCCCCAGCTCGTTTGGTCTGGTAGTAGTCTTGTGGGCTGTGCATTTGCCGTGTGTAAGGGCGCCAGTGGAAACCAATGGAAATTTTACGTGTGCAACTATGGACCAAGGTAAACCAAATAACTGAATGGATTTAGGAAATAATGAAATTATTAATAAGAATATAAATAAAGAAAGATGAATGAATAAAAACAAACCAAAAAACATAAGTATAAAGGTGTACTTTTATTTAAATGAATAACTGATTAATAGACTCAAAATTCAATGGACGAACAACGAAATGGTAAACAGACTAATTAACTTACGAAGTAAAGAACGAATCAGTAATAAACAAGCGTGCAGAATTACTGCGTGTGTTGCAGGTTCTAATTGTAGCAGCTCTGCCCTTAGCATCTATGTACAGAAATAGAGGATTAATCTTTTTCAGTGGAAACGTGGCAGGAACGTTGACACCATACAATGTAGGCGAGAAATGCGGAGGCTGCAACTTGACATGCAACGACGGGTTATGCGGTACGATTTGTATATTATGTCTTACTTTTCTTACTTTATATCAAACACTCGAGTCATGATGATGAAATTTATAACTGTTCAATTTCTACACAATAAGCTGAAAGCGTACCTGAAATCTTTCGTCCCAACACGTGGGGCTTCATCAGTCACACTGAAGTTACGGGACAGTGTATAGTGAACAGTTATTGAGAACTGTTCGCTATATATAACACTGTCCGAGATGTGAGAAAGGTTGTGCCTCCCCCCGTCCTTGTCAAGAAAAGGTCTCTGTACCCCAAGATACATGGCTTTCTTTTCATTAAACTATACTTCAAGACAAAAAAGGACTGATCTGAAGCTCGCACAGGTACTGCAAAGCCCACTGCAACATGCTAAAAATTGCAACATATTTTTCAAACTTCCCTTGCAGGGAAGACTCTTGGGTTGGAGGGGGAGACGATTGTTTTACCCCTCTGATATACTCTTGTGTTACGTCGTTTGAATCATTCAGATAACAACCACCCCCTTACAGATTTGAAACCCACGACATGAAACAAATGATGGGACACATATACACACACGTGCGCGCGCGCGGCTATACACAAACAGTGACACACACGGCTGATTATCTTAAAAACTTTAGAACTTGAGATATTTGCTCGTGTTTGGGGTCCATTTTTCTTCATACAGTTTTGTTGACATTAAGAAAGTCAAAGTTTATATAGAAACTTAGGGGAAAAACAAGAGAAATTTAATCAATGAGGCACTTGTGAGGCACTTATGAGACATGTTCCTAATTTATTCCTTTTTTGTGAAAAGAAGATCACTTCTATTTCAGACTGCGGTGGAATAGTGTGTTATAACGGGGGCATACTTGATCTGAATACGTGCAGCTGTTCGTGTTTCAAGAACTTCCACGTTGGGCACCAGTGTGAACGTAAGTGCTGGATGAGTAGTAAGTGTGAATAATAATAATAATTATTGTTATTATTATTATTGTTCTTCTCATTATTATCATTATTATTATTATTATTATTATTATTATTATACATTCTCACGGATGTTTATGATAAATGGTTCAGACGTTTTGTATTTTGACATTGTGTATATCATATGTAGGCCTACATTGTAGCCTACATATGTACATCGTGGTGCATCCATTGGTTCTTAAATTGGTTATAAAAAGTATCCAGTCTCCTTGCCAAATACAAAAAGACTATGTGAAGCAAATAGTAAGGGTATGTAAATGTTGCTTACATTGTGCTTTAAATGTCATATTCCCTTATTATAGTTGACTGCAACCTAGCCCAAGATGAGTGGTATTGCGAGAGTCATTATACGCGAAGCGCGTGCGGTACACAAAATGCACCCTTGGAGTGCCCGAACATGTGTAGCATATGTCCTTGTAAGTGTTTTTCATTCACATCTAGACTTAGCTTTCAAATTGATATATCCATTTTGCACTTAGACCACACTATCTTGTATAATGCACATTATTTTGGAAGATTTCCTTAAAATTGATTTTTCGTAATATTGTTATGTTAAAAAGGATGCATTATAATTTTGAATGACAAGTTTTGTATCTAACCCCCCACCCCATGGATTTATTCAAATGCGCAATGCTTGTTGGCAAGTTTGTATATAAATGACTATTATATATAAATCTCTCTCTTTAGGGTCAGGGAGGAACTATACAGCAGGCAGCGTCACTGTTCCCGGTAATTTTTTTTTTTTTTTTTTTTTTTTTGCTCGCGCGTGTAGGCCTATATGGCTTGGTTTTGGTACCTGATTGGGATTCACTACTTATCATAAATGTATATTATTATGCTTATGCTATTAATTTTGAAAATAACGTAGACGGAACTCAAATTTAAGCTTTTAATGACTGTCGATATTTAAATGCAAATTATATATACAAATGAGTTAACATGTGCTAAGCAGGGGCGGATCCAGGGTTATTTTCTGACAGTCTTCCAATTTATCTTTCTTGGTCCATCCTCCATTTTGACCGTCTTCCGACAAAAAGAATTAGATACCCGTCAATGTAAACTTGAAAATCTGACCGTCTTCCGGAAGACCCAGAAGACGCCCTAAATCCGCCCCTGCTAAGTGTTTAGTTGTGGACATTAAATAAATATCAAGTATTAAATGTAGATCAGTAATTGTTGATCAATGATGTTGATGAACGTCTCAAGCAAATCCATTAAAAATCCAACGTTAGTCAACATCGACTTCCTGCTGGGATAATGCTTCTTGCACACGTAGCTACCAAGTTTGTTTATTTGTGACTAATACTATGTTTATAGGACCAGGGAGTAACTATACTGAAGGTACAGTCACTGTCCCAGGTATTAGTGATATTGAACATTTTATCATTAAATGACGAGATTGTCAAAATCTTTTCAAAACGTCTCATGTTGATCATAACTCATATCCAATACACTTTTCTAACATCTTTTTCTATAAGTGTACTCAAAACAAAGTAAGTATAAGATTCTTTTAGGGACAAGGATTAACTATATTTCATTATGTTACATGTTGAATATGTTTACGATATTATTATATTTAGTGTATTCATTTTCTTTTCATCTAATTCCAGAAAGACCTCCGCCTATCATCAACCGGAGTGCAGACCACGGAATTGGATCCATGATTATCATCGCTGAAATAATATTAATCTGGCAAACTGTGCATGGTTGAACGTTTTTCCAATATACATAAATAAAAATATTTTTTTAAACAGCCATTTATTAACTCAAGATGAAAATCTCACAAACTCTTGGCCAAATCGAATTGGCCCATGGATAACCGGATATAAAGATAGAGAAAGTATTCTGATTGTTTTCACTTTTCTTGTGAATGCTTTGCTCCCAAAGGACCATGGTAAAAAAAAAAGGACGACGAAAAATGCTGGAAATGCAAAGATCAAATTTACCAGTTAATATTTAAAATGTGATCGACTACGAATTAATTGATTAGGCCCTAATTAGTTTATTTATTAAGAAGGCAATAGACTTTAAATAGAGATATGCCTATTTATGCCTACCGGTATTTTTCTACTGAAAACTTCCTTAGCAGTGTGGATTTTGTCGCTTACAACAACAAGTTGCGATTTACGGCCGTATTACTAGTCATCTTTGTTTTGTTATGCAAATGATTTGTTCAGTATAGGCCTATATATGGCCAAGAAGTAGTTCTGGGCGCGGCCACGTTTGTAACTGACGAGCAGAATGCTCAGGTCGCCAAGTCTCAAGATTTATTGTAGTCAGTTCGGCAAAATCAGTGGATCACCATCGGGCGGGAAAAAGCCACGTAGGCCTACATTTCTCTTTTCACCATGTCAGTGTATGCATGTGCGTGAATAAACGTGTGACCATTTCCCGTTTGTGTTCGTTTTGGTGTGGGATCCGCTACAGTGGATCTTTTAAAACGTGTCTTGAAAGATCGTTTTAAATTCATTATTATTGTCATCATCATATATTCGCAGTGAGAGAAAATGCTTTAAGTGTTAAATACTGAATTATGAAAATAAAAAACGGTTAAAAACGGGGGGGGGGTGCGAAAATTGTTGGTATTTTAGAGGACGAATGGTGCCATTTGGTACGATTTAGAACTATGATTCAGCTAGTCAAAATTCTAATTTCAAGAAGGGACCATTGGTGTGATATTTCTTTCAGCAATCGAAGGCGGGGGAGTCAGGACCCCCCAGACCCCCCCCCCCCTAAATCAACCTCTGGTACATAAATGTGGAAGGTGTCTCAAATACATATTGTAAAACAACAAACACTCACACTGAGTTAAGCTAATTAACTGTTCATTGTATTTTCAATACTTTTGAAAAGATTCATTAATATTTTTTTCTGTTTCAAATCGGAGATTCTGCAGTGGTCTTTGATGAATACCCATAATCCTTTGCTCCGATGTCGAACTTGGCCAATTTTAACCTTTGACAGTGTAGATGAGAGGTGTATTAATGGGCTTACAATTTGTCAATAAAGTGCAGGAAATATATGGTGAAACTTTAATGTAATTTTTTGTGTGCCATAAAACTGTTTCTATTTCATTTCTTATGGTTTTATGAATATTAATCACAAATAAAAAACAAGAACTATTTTCTTTTTGAATCCGGAAGTGGATTCCACCCCGCTGCCATTATTACAGGCACATTCGACGTTTAGGAGGAATTGACCGAGGTAGATTCAGCTTTAAATATAACTTTAAAGGGATCTCTCAATATATATATAGATACAACCAGTGCAGTAGGCGATAACTTATGCAACTAGTGATGTTATGCGTAAATGTTGACTTCAGTTACTTTTAATTGTTTATGGTGTTTAACTTGGGAGTTTTTTTGCCGGTGTCATTTATGGGTGGCTATTCATTGATATGAAGTGAATCACCATTCGGTATAATGTATTAATGGGATGTCCGGCTTTTTATTGTGTTTGTACATTTGCTTGTATTGCTAATATGATTATTTTATGTAATATATACACAGACATATATATATATATTTATAGTACGTACACACTGTCTCAAGATATTAGATTTCCTTTGAAGTTTGATTTTGGAGGGGAGTAACTTTGCTTTCTTGCCAAGTTCTAATTCCATTAGCAGTAAGGTCTATGATGTTGAAAAGTTTGTGTACAATTTGAGACCTGACTACATTGATTTCAAATACATTTTTTTTGTAATTGATATTACAATAATTTATGCAACAATTTATCATAATTGCTGCTATGTATTATCCTAAATTCATGTTTAATGTATGGAGAGTCAGTCGATGCAGTATCTTCATTTTCAAACATGTCAACAGTGTATAGTATACACTAATGGTACATACAGCAGTTAGTTTGTGCATATTACAAATGCAGGTGAAATAACCTTGATTTCATTCTTTTGTGATGTTAATTGGCTTTTAAAGTACTGTACTTTATACATGACCCATGGACATTTGTGATTGGTACAGAAAACTTCAACCAACTGCTGCTGCTTGGTTGGTGTCGAATCTGAAATTTAGGCTGCTTAATAATAATGATTTAAACAATTTTGCCTATATATGACTTGCATTAGACTAAATAGAAAACTGCTGTTTTGATTATTTTACATGTGTCCCTCTGGCTCAAATATTAGAGATAATCTTAGACTACTACTGGTTTGCCCTTCCATTCTGGATAATTTAACCAAGTAAACATGGGCTTGCAATACTTCAAGAAAGAGTGGTAACAAAGATATGTATTGTTCACATGCATGCAAATTGTGGATTTTTTTTCCATATCCCATCAATGTTTTTGAAAATGTTTTTTTTCTAGGGCATTGAAGCTGTTAGTTATGTGCATTTTTATTGGGTGTCTTTGTACTTGCTTTTTTCCCAGTCCTATGCATGTATGTTTCCTGACCCCAATTGAACTTTGCTTGCCAGCATATCTGTCATTGTAGTGGATGTTAGTTGTTTATTGACCAGTCAATACCCTAAGTCACTCTCTAAGTCACTGTATTGAATTTAAGTGTGTCAAGGCTCTAGGCTAGATAATGCAAGGCCAAAAGGAAACCTGCATTAAAAGCATTTTTGGTTTTTATCAAAAGCTTAACAGAGCTAGAAATTGATTTTTAAACATTTTTCTTCAAATATCATTAAAACTGTTTGAAAATAAAACATATGGTTGCTAGATTAATGCTGATGTCATGGTCGGGCCAATGCACTCCCACCATTGACACGCTATATAACACCTTTTTATAATATAAAAAATTGTACAGAAGTGATATAGGTACTAGTAGTTTAAATTTGGACATAGTCAAGAAGGCATACAATTGGCCATGATTGTCAGCCCCAGTCTTTCATTGATTTGAGAATGGCATCTGATGTGTAATGTAAACTTGTTCTTGTGAGCACTTGGCATGAATTGTGCTTTACTGATCTTCGGCACCCTGTCAAATTGCTTGAAGTGATTGTAATCATCAAACTGAAAAAAAAATTTGCTCTGACAAATAGTTAAAGTTCACAGATATCAGGAAATTCATATTTGTACTCAATTTATGTATTAATTTAGCAAAAGCCATATGTGTGGTTACTCTTTTAGAATAGGGAGAAAAATGTTATCTCTCTTGACTTAGAATCTTTGAAAGCTTTAACCTGTAGTTCCTTGTATCTTTCACTTTGGGCATACTGAAAATATTTGGCAGTTTAAAAAAAGATCCTGTGTGTATACAGACTGGAATGAAAGCTTACCCAACCTCACTTTTTGTCCATAGCCTATAATGTAATGCTTGCAATTTTTATTAAATTGGAACTTGAAACCCTAGTCCAAATCATTCAATTGGTATTCAAAGTCAAAGATTGTGGATCATAGTCACAAACACTAAAACAATTAATGTTTATGAGGCCTGGAACTGAAATTTTATCTCTACTGCCTCTGTGGAAACAAAACCATTTTTCTTGTGTTAAAGAAAAATGTTCATAATGCTACGTATGCTTTCATATTGTCAAATATAACTTTTATTTGGCACACAGGAGGAGGCAACAGTGGACATAAGTATATTCTTCACTAAAGTACTATTTGGTCTTTTAGGTCCATACAGAAATTCAGGTGGATCACAGGGCCTACTGCCCATCTCTGACTTCATGTGTCTTCACGAGCCCGGTTTTCATTAGAGTGCACTTCATTTTCCCAGCCCTTGGGTGACATTGTCACACAACTAGCAGTGTTCTGAATGGTTTAGAGTAAAACTAAGGACCAGTGGCCCAGCTGTTTATTCATACAATTGATAGTAATTTGAAAAAAACTTTTTTGCATTGTTGATTTCATTTTATAAACATATTTCTTGCATGATATCAGACTTTAAAGTCAGATTGTGATAATATGGTTGCTTGAAAAGGAAATCAGCTTGTCAGGGATATGATAGTAAAGATCTCCCTGATGCCATGGACCTGAATTGTATTCTTGTCTTTTTATACTGTAGGAAATAAACTGGGCTTGGATTTACAGGTTACTTTCAAGGAGGGCTTTCATACTTATTTTATTTTCATACTGGTTGAGCACTTTATGTCAAACATGAAATACAATACATCAGCATGCATGATAACAAAACCATAGCACTATAGTAGATTATCAAAATGAGATTGCCGACTTGTCCTATTGTTTTCTGGTGTTACTCAGATATATGATACTTAGTGAGTTCTATATTGAGCAGGTTTTGAAGTTGCTGATGATAACATTTTTATGGATTCAGTAATGGATCAGATATTCACAGATGGCATTGTATTGAAATGAATACTCTTAGTTTTTTATTATATTTTGTCCTGATTTGACAAGCACTATCCTTCCCAAGCTTTGACACAAAGCAGTTTCAGTGTTGCTTTGATTATAGGTTTAGAACTATGATGAAGTACAATTTTCTTTTCTTTTTTTTTTTTAATTTTTTCCATTTTGGTGTGGTAACAGATGTGTGTGTGTGTCTTTTTTTTTTTTTTAAACTTTTCTATCCCCTTATTTTCAGAGTGCATGATTCTGTGGTACAGTTAAACAGCATGATTGGTAACTTCTGACAGTTTTATGTTTTATTTCTAGTTCACAATAGTCATGGCGGAACAAGGAGATGACCTGACTCCAGATGAAACCCCAGGATACAAACCCCCTGCTGAGAAGAAGCTAGCAGAAATGGTGAACCTCGATACAGAGGATGAGAGCTTGCGGAAATACAAGGAACAGCTCCTTGGCACTGCCGCTATTGGTGCTGAAAATACTGCACCCTGTAAGGTTTTAAAATCCCACGTCATGTTTTTATCAGCTGAGTTGTATGATATTGATATAGAAATTTTCCAAAAACTGTAGTAGCTATAAGCAAGAAGTTATGATCTCTTTATAACTTCTTGCTATAAGTAATTCTTTTATTTTACTTATGTTGAGTAAAAATAATGTCTACAAAAAATGTTGCACATATGCAAATGGGGAATTTGTTCTATCTCTCCTTCAGTTCCTGAAGACCCTAGGAATGTGATAATCACAAAGATGGCATTACTTGTTGATGGAAGGCCTGATGTGGAGTTGGACCTCACAGGTTAGGAAGGAGTAAACATATTTGAAATTGAACATAATTGTGTTTCTTATGATGTTCTTTATTTAAAATGAAATACATGATACAATGCAAGTTTATTCTTGTGAACTAAAAAATGTAGAGAACTACTGAATCAACAAATCAACCTAGAGAATCAACTTTCTCAATTGCAATAAATGTATATTTAGCCAACCCTATAAAAACATTTTATTAACATTATTTAATAATATCTCCATTTAATTTTTTAGGAGATTATAAAAATGTGGCTGTAGATATTTATACCCATTGTTTTAAAATCATCATCATAATAAAAAAATCACCTTTTTCTAAAATATTGCATAAAATACATACCTTTGAAAAAAAATACTTGAATAGTATACAACTAACTTCAGGATTAGCAATCCCCATCATTTAGCAAAAGAAACAAAATGGTGTGAATTGTGATTCCAGTGGGGACCTTAGTTAATGTGAAAAGACTTATTTCGTTTAGTAATGTAACCTTTATGTGTGATAATTTAACATTTACGTATGATTTTCCTATTCTTTTTTAGGTGACCTCAGTAAAAAATTTGACAAGATAACCATGAAAGAAGGATGTAAATATAAGATCAAAATTTACTTTTATGTTCAGCGTGAAATTGTCCCCGGATTAAAGTTTGTGCTAAAAACATCTAGGAAAGGAATTTCAGGTAAGAGGGTTGATGTGATGGCAGTTTTTTTGTATGTCTAGTACTTACTGCTGTTCAGGGCCCCGTAATCGAAAGCATTGTGCAAATAGCGATATCACCTTTTATTTCGAGGCTATTATATGGGGCGAGTTTTGGAATTGAGACGCTTGCACTCGGTACCAATGCACGATGCTTTCGAGTTACGGGGCCCTCAGGCCTGGTAAACTTATTTTTATTATAACAAAACCAAGTACATAACATTTTGAAACTGATTATTTGTGTATCAGGTAAAAAGGAATATTACAATATGTCAGTTTTAAATATGCCAGAAATTATCCAAATATAATTCAGTGAAATTAAACATTTCTGTTTACCTTATGCATAAAAAAAGTTTGACTTGATAGACTTTCTAACATCCCTATGACCCTCATTAAACAAGACAACACCCAAAAACGTAATGTGAAATTTTTTGAAGTTTTTGTTTATAATATCTTAGAAAGGGTTGCAAGTCAGTCTTCTGCACACTTGCTCACTGACTTCTCCTAGTCTCTTTTTGTTTCTTTTTATTATATTATTAATTATGTTCAGTGGTTGAAAATGAGTATTTCATCTGGAAAAAGCCTGTCGCAGTAACCTAGAAGGCCCCCTTTTGAAAGGATGCAAACCATTTCATTCAGCCATAATCGTTTTTGACTATCCTTTTAATAATTAATGCAGAATAGATGTTTCAAAAGCCATGATAATAGTCAGTGGATTAAAAATCTTTATTTGTGCACCAGTGTTCATGAGATATAGCTGCATTAGGTAAAATACAGGTGAAATATGTAGTTTTTGCTAATTTGAAAGTAGAATATTGTATTTTTATTATGATTTACTTTTTCATTTACACAATATGATCTAGATGTGTAAAACATTTTGGTTAATGTGTTAAGATCAAAATGGCGATTGATGAAGGGTTGCTTGGAAGTGAGTGATTGCCAGCATATAGAAATTTTGAGTTGATCAAGTTTGTATTAAATGTTTGAAGTGGAAGCTATATGCGAAACTGACATGGCTTCTCATGAAAAATTAACAAAAATGCAAGACAAATCCTATTTGAATGAAGTGCTGCCATGAGACAAATTCCCCTTTTAACTTGTGACCTGCTGACAGTGATATGTTCCATCATTCATTTTCTAGTGGACAAAGAATCCCATATGGTTGGAAGTTACGGTCCCAGGAAGGAGATTCATACCTACACTACTCCACCAGAGGATTGCCCGTCTGGTATGATAGCCCGCGGCAATTACAGCGTTAAGAGTCTCTTCACTGATGATGATAAAAATGAAATTCTCAGGTGGGAATGGCATTTTGAGATCAAAAAGGACTGGGACTAAATGCAGACATCAGTTATATAATGTTAGTCTAAATACAAACTGAAATAAACTCAGCGATAACCTTTATCATGTAGCCTGAGAGATGAGGATACAATGAAATATGGTGAAATATGCAGTTTTATGGTGCATACATCATTGATATATGTGAAATTCTGAAAGAATTTTGCTAATTTTTCATTACCAAAAAGGTATAGCATGCAGAATGTATATGAAGAAATGCATAAATCTGAAATGGGCTTTAACTGTGCTTTTACATTAGTAGCAGCAGAACCTTATCTCCATTTTTAGAAGGATGTAATTTATGCTCTCATTCCAAAGTCCATACAAAGGGCTTCCATTCAAAGTTTATTATTCCATGGGTTGCTCATTTTTCCAATTTTCCCCCAGATTTTTGTTACGTTAATATAACTTCCAGCAAAACAAGAACCTGTATAAAAAGTTGCAGCATTTTAACCACCAGAATTGACAAGCTGTATACATTGAATCCTGTACAGGGTTTGGTTATATAAGGTCACAAGTTAATAATTTACCTAACCGCAGCTACAGTATGTGTCCGAGTTGTTAATTTAGGCTTAAAGGTTGTATAATTTGCACTTCCTTTTTCTTAGCCTTTCATCAGAACTATAATGGTGACACTTTTCTTGTAAGTTCTTTTGCAAGGACATATCAGGAGTAACATGACTGAGTTCACTGCAAGTGCAGCTGTTATTTATAACATATGTATGTCTGGATTTTTTCTGATCTTGTGTGAAATCTGAAAGTGAGAGGCCCATTTATGTCTCCCCAGCATCCTCATCAACATGTATGATAATGTATCTGAACAGCTTTCTTTTGAACTGGCTTAAATTCGAGGGGAAAAATATCCCTAACACAGATTTTTATTATTTTTTATTTATTTATTTATTTATTGTTATTATAATTTTTTTTTTTTTTTTTGTATAAGAATTTAACAACTTATTTTGGAATGATCTTACATTGTCTTTCAAAGTGAAAATTTGTATGATAAGACTATATTCAACAGCTTGAAAAGTTGCAAGAAATCTGTATGAGAATCATGCAATGCCTCCACATTTATGCAGGAGATAGAAAACTACCTTATACCATACCTTAAAGTTGAAATGGATTTTAATGTGCTCATTGTAAGCAGATAAGGCTACTTATTATATAATTTGTATACAATAAAAATTCAAATTAAATGGCAAAGGATAATCATGAATGTTTTAGAGAAATAATCCTTTATGTTAATGAAGATACATATAGTTATAAAATGATTTTAAGGGAAAATTTATTTACTTACGCATAACATTTCTGCACTGCTATTTGCATAGTTGTTATTGATACTTTTTCAAGGTTGATGGTAATGTTTAGGTAAAGCAGGTTATAATTAACTTGTTTAATCCAGCTGGACATTTATTAAGACAGAAGTAACTATAGTTTCCTCAAATTATTTCTATCATAACAGTGATGTAGGCTAGTTTATAGCACCAGTGGACCTGCAGCTTTTTAATTGTGGAACAATGTAGATGAGGCATAAAATATAGAACAAAATGTAGCTGAGAAAAAACTAGCCAGTGATAAATAAAATGTAGTATCTAAGGTTGTTTGTTATGACTTTTACATTGTGTTTGAGTGACATTATTACTAAAATTTTGACTTGCCATGAAGACTAACATTTAGGGCAAAAAAGTTGATTACATTTATGCAATTCTTTATGCTTTCAAAATATGGACCAATAAAAGCTTTAGCTCTGTGTCATTTTCGATTTGCACTTCAGTTTTGGGTAGAATTTTAAAGTATCATATTTAAGAGAAAAATATGTAAGTACCCTCATTTTCTTTTGCTAAACTGCCTTTCTTTTGTCACCTGTCCTGTGCTGGGGAACATCCAGGCTGCCATGTATTGAGGAGGGTAGGAGCATTATTACATTTACATTTATTATACTTTACTGTGGTGCAATTATTGCATTTTCCAGTAAGAATTACGTGTGACCTGACTCTGTGAAAGCCATGGGCTTTTCTTGAAATTGTTTTTGAAAGAGAAGAGACCCCATTTTTTTTTTTTTTTTGTAAGAAGGGGGTCCCTTTATCCCATGTATCAGATATCAGATATCTCTCAATTGCATCTGTTCCTTTGTTTCATCTAACTCGTTTAGATGTGCCTGGCTACTCTGTAAACCAAGGTCTTGTTCACTGTAGCACTTAAGCATTGTGCGTAAGGGTTTGTCTCTTCATTCAATACACATGGTATAGATATGTAGTCTCACCAAGAAGCAATTTGTAGCAATCCACTTTAACAGTTAAATATCAGACAACATTGACCATTTCATTCATGTTATTAAGTGAAACGTTTGAGAACTGATTTTTCTTGGGTCAGAATATATTTATATTTTGTCTTCTGTGGGGCCAACTCCGTATTATCCTTTACCAAGGCCCCAGATTGGTTTTTCACCAGATATTCATAGGTATGTCTCTGGCAGATGATGTGCACTTTTCTATACAATGAAGGTTTGTGTATAGAATTGACATCATCGCTTAGCTGGCCTCTGGTAAAGAATAGCCGCCTGTCAAAGGCTTTATTACACAATCCAAATGAATTCAGTTATCCTGAGATTGTATCTGTATTCAGTGCATTTTCCCCTATCTTTTCCTATTTGGTGATCAAAAATTAGCCTGATCTGTGATCCTCTATGGTTTTGTCATGTTCACAGGGACAGTGATAATCTCCAGGGTAGGACACACCTAAGCTGCTTGGGCATGGAAGGTGCTATACCCTCTATTCCCCTTCTCTCTCCCAAAAAGCATAACAAGCAAACCAAGCAATATCAAAAAATTGTTCAATCTTGTTTCCTACATATCCTGCTTAAGTTGTCTATTGTTGGTTACATATGGAGAGAAGCAAGGCAATCTCTTAAATCTTTGTGCCCTCTTCTTCCACCCATCCCCCTCTCCCTCCTAACAAAGTTTGGAATCTGCTCTTGCTCCTTGAACATGTCTTTTGTTTAAAGAATGCCTGTTGCAGCTATTTACAATGAAGAACTTTGTCACCAGCCCTGCAGCAGCCTTGGACATCTTTGTCGACCACTAAGAGCTAAACATTGAACTGGCTTTTTAGTGGTTCATAATAAAATCTGTTTGGATGAATACCAAATAAAATATCTAAGAATGTTTATAATATATAGTTGTATAATTATTGTGCAGAATTAATTGATTAGAAGAACTTTTTGTATTCAATTCATTTCTTTGATCATGAAATCAAGTGCAAAACTACATGTACAGCCTGTAGTGCTGTAAAAGGTCTGCTTGTTTTTAAGCTCACCTGATATATTCTAGTACACCTCACAGGGTTCTTCTACTGCATTATAAATTTTAAGTCAATATCATATTTCTCAAATTGTTGTATATTCAACTGTGGTGTATCACTTTGTCATGGTAGACAATGAAACTAGGCTGGGGTTCCAGCTAACCTTCACCTTTTGCAAGATTGCGGTGGTTGCATTGTGATCTTCACAAAACTAGAGTTTTTTTTTGTATAGGGGATAGGGCATACAAGATGCCTTCATGTCCTTTTTTTTCTTTTTTGGGGAGGGGGGAGGGGGATGCTTTAACTCAGAGGCATATAAAGACTCATTATCTGGGCCCTAGAGGAAGTAGTATGTTTTTTGAAAAGTTAAAGTGAACTAGCATCTGACACTGAGAATCAATGGTACATTGTTTGAACAAGCACCTACCCCCCTCCCTGACCTTTCCTCACCATAGATGCCATATTGAATAATTGGATGCACGAAAAAATCATAATTTATGGAATTTGATGATAATAAACCCTGACAGTACCCGTAAGGAAATGTTAATCCATTTAAGAAAATCATTTTTTAAAATAAATGTGTATGTGATTATTGCATCAATATAATTCATCAATATTGAATGACAATATGGCAATGAGGGACCCACATACATATTTAAAACAGACTTCATTGTCACATCAATATTTAGCAACGATTAGAGCTTCATTTCACCTCATTGGAATGATAATTAAAGGCATAGCGGTTTACATGCTTTGTTTTCAGTTGATGATAATCAAAGCAGAACAAGGAGATGGTCAGATCCTAAAGGAAGCCCCAGAATACAAACCCCTTGCTGAGAAAAAGCTGGAAAAATTGCTAAACCTGGATCACAGCTGGTAAAGATATAAGAAGCAGCTCCTTGAAACTGCAATCTTTGAAATATTAAGACATTTGAATTATATGTTTATCATGAAAACAGTTCGTGTATAATGGGTTTCTGGGGTAGCGCTAACACTCGCCAATTTACCCAAATGCTAAAACTGACTTAAATTGGCTAAAGAAAAAGGGCTTGATTTCACTTGTTTTAGTCAAATTATAACCTTTTTGATAACAAATTGACAAAAATGTGGTGATTTGGCTAAGAGAAAAATATTGCCAGCGCCACCCCAGGGTTTAGTATTACCATTAATTTCAGAAATATTAAAACCTGTGACAAAGTACAGTGTACTTTAGACTGGTGGGACAAATTTCTTACAATCACTCTGTTTAGATTTTAGCACTAATAACTTATTTTCAGTGGACCTTTGTAAACAAGACCTACATTGGTTTAAAAGATCTTATCAAAAATTTGTTGCACCTGCATCTTTGTAAATAATAACTACCCCAATTTTTGTGATTTTTTCTGCAGCCGTATCATACGAGTTATTGAGTCATCCTCAGGTTGCTATATACACCCAATCAGCATTCTACACTTCAGGCACTTTGGTCCACAGGTAAAATGACACCTCTAACTGTAATCAATATTTTGATCAGCATGGTCCCTCAGGGCTCATTCCCATTGAAACAGTCGGTTTACAGATTGATCTAATTTTGCGGGGACTCTCGTTGAATGCAATCAGTTTTACATGCCTCCTCTTGTTTCCAATGTACTCATATAATCACCAACTTTTCTGTATATTCTACTCAATGTAAGGAGGAATCTGTTAACTGATTGCATTCAGTGAGTCACCGTGGAGTTAAATTGATCTGCATAGACTGATAGTTTCAATGGGAATGAGCCCTTGATCACCAGCAGTGTATGCTAGTTATAAGTAACCCAATAAAATTGCGTAAATAAACAGAAATCTTGAATTTTGTGTACTTTTCTGCATTTCAGAGCAAACTACCCTATATTTCAGGGTATATGCCCCTAAAGGACCAGTCAGTATTTAAGTCGGAGGGGTTTGGGCTGGGGTGGAGGAGAAAATGGGGTGCCCCTAAAATTTCTTGAGCAAAAATTGGGTGGGGACTGGAATTTGAAAATGGCAGATAGAACACAATAGAGAATCTGTGGACGTCAGTTACTAGCCAAATCAACGGTCTACTGGTCCTACGACAAAACTGAACCAACTCAGACTAGCTTTGATGGTGCCCGGAATGTTATTCCAGAGCAAACCGTCAGGTATATTTTTAGTTTGCGCAATATAAGATGAATTCCCGTAACTACGCTGGTGTTTTGCGATGAAAAAGGCCAGGGACAATAATTCAAGCATCTACAATTTTCGATAATTGGTTAGGTATCGAAAGTGTGATCAAAGGTTAGTCTCATGGAGTAGGGCCTACACTGTATCTCGCCCCGATAATTTGCCCATCGTCTTAAACATACAAATGGACAACATTCAGATTAGCTTCAAAACTTTTGGGGAGGATCCGACGATACTGTTTGGCTTTTTTCCTTGTTTCAAACTTGGACCTAATTTAGGTCCAAGTTTCAAACATGACAACTCATTAAACAGTCAAAGCGAAATTTCAAATTCTGTATACTAATCTTTGGAGTCTGTCGCAGGTCCTCTTATTAATTTAAAAACTAGCCATTCAATTATTTTTTTCGCTGCTTTTACAGAGCAGACTTTTGTTCTCCGCCAGTCATCACGATCGTTTGCAAGATCCAGATGCACTTATTGAAACGACGCTGAAATTCACAAACACGATAAAGTTTTGAGAACATTCAAACATGACCTTCAACATATATTAGGGTAACATCTTATCAGGGTAGTACTGATATTTCTATGTACCGGAAGAACAGGTGGTTCACTAAACAAACTGCACAAGATGCGTTACTGGTTGTATATTCTTCTGGTCGTTTTGCATCACATTTTCTACGAAGCTGTTCGTAGGACTTTCACTTCAGTACAGGCCTTTCTTTGGTGGATAAGTGGAACGCTCAGCTTTCAAAGGCGCGTGAACAGAGGTGATCATTACGAACATTCGGCTCAAGTCATGCGTGTCCTGTGGAGTCACAAACTTCACGACGGTTGGGTCGCCTGTCCTGAAAATTTCATCGGCTTGCATGAGAGGTTTGCACATCCAAATATTATACATAGCAAGAATATTTCCCTTTACTGTGTAACCCCTAAACAAGCAGTGTTTGTTGAAACACCAGAATCCGTGGACATTTACCATTCCGATACGAATGCATTTCTCTATGAAGCTCAACTGAAGTACGCCCGGAGAATTGTCCTTATGCCAGTCCAGTCTCTATTCAAAATTGCTGATGAAATTGGCGACCCGAAAGTGAAAGTGATTTATTTATCAAGCACAGGGCGATGCGGTTCAACACTTTTAAGTCAAATTCTGGAGACTCTGCCCAAACTGTTAACCATTGCTGAACCAGATTCTCTGACTAATATGGCTTACTTTAAGCGGAGCATTTCGCAAGAACTTTACGAAAAAATTGTGATTAGTGTAATGCGAGTTATATGCAAACCACTTAAAC